ACTACACAGGGAAGTTGGGAATAACATTGCAATGTCACTTCATTTTGTTTCATAAAGATGGCGATGTATCCACCAAAGCAACAGACATCATAAACAGACTTGGTGACAGGGATGATGTAAGAAATAATGTATTCAGCAAATTTATTACTACATGCTCTTTTTTAATGTAGCGTTACACAAGATCTATAATTGCATATGACATCAAGTTAGTTCAAGCATCTCCTGCATGGCAATACACTGCCAAAGGAGGCGGGGAAGTTATGCAAGAAAAATGTTACATCAAAGCATTGATTGATATCAATAGCTTTAAATCAGATGGTGATTTTATTTGCCCAGAAAAAGTACACGATGATATATATGCAGTGTTGAAAGATATCTGGCCCAAGTGGTTAGTTAATATTCAATGCATTATTTTCAATTCTTTTATGTAGCACAATTAACATGCAAGAGATTCCACCTCCATGAGTTAAAAAATTAATTTCTTTTAAAAAAGTTGACAAAAATATTTATATATATATACATGATAATAACATTATTCTATAATAAAAATAACATCTTTTCTGATAATAATATAGCAATAAAATAAGCCAGCAAATTTTGTAGCATGTGCCCACTGCTTACTTTGTAGCTGCTTTAGCAATCCTTTCTTCTTTTCGCGTAAATAATAGCAAATAACAAAAATAAAAACAATAATGTGAAAAGGCCAAGTGGAATGGAAGGGATCCAGTACTTTGAAAGATAAATGTAGACTTGCTTTGTTATAAATGTAGTGAACAGATTCACTTTCCCTTGAAATGCATACGTAGAGTTAACAAAAAGACAAACATCGCTGTTATGTCTGCTCTTCTTGAAATTTATAGAGCAAGATTTATTTGAATGAGTAAGATGGCACTCATCACCTCTGTATCTTGCTTCATTCAAATATGCTGATATATTTCCTGAAATGCTGACATTAACTTTAGTTTGATTAACTACAGCAAGAACAAAATAGAGCAGAGAATTACGTGGTAATGTTATTGAGAATGAATGAGTTCCATTACTACCAACACAATCTGAACTGTATACGGAACGAGGTTGATCAGCTTGAGGATCTCTAGCAGCATTATAGTAGCTAATGTAGTCGGAGTGAATAGAAAAACCAAACAATCTCATTGCGCAAGAGACCCTGACAGGATTGCTATTTACCAAATCGATAGAGTAATTAAGAGTCCCTCCACCACTTGCTGTATAAATAGGCTCGTAGCAAGTATTATAGGAAACAGGGATAGGAAGAGTGTGGATAGAAGAAGTAGTAGACATACATTTATTTAAATTAATGTATGGTAGGACTTGCTGGTATGTGCTAACTTCATGTTCAGGTATGGTGTATATAGTGGCACTATCCAGTGTAATGGCAGTTGCATTGACTGTATCTGTTATTGAAGTATCGTAGCATTCCAATTTAACGTTGGTACTGAGACCGATAATTGGATAGGTCTTATTTTGTGGATCTCTTACATTGACGTTCATAACTTTAGGTTTCAAAAATATCACCACAAGACTAATGATAAACGTGATGGAGAATAAGAGAAGAAATATAAGTGTCAGGGTCATCCATAAACAACAACCTAAAGGTATTGAAAAATACAATTAAACAAATAATATTATTCACATAAAAATAATGAATAACATACAATTTTTCTTTGGTTTAGGTACTAAAATCTGATGACGTTGTTGATATTGAACTATCTCTTTCGGATATTCTAGACCGCAATCCTCAAACCACTTTAAGACATTACTCAAGTTGCTTGGATCAAAAACAGGCTTAGGGTCGGCTTCATTTGGTCGAGGCTGGTTGCAGTTTACGAGCTCCAAAAGATGACAACGTGACTCTATATTGTCAATGCTGTGACTATGAGACAAAACTTCACGTACGACATGATCTCGCAATGCTCTATAATGATTGTCACTCATCGAAGTCATTGCAATAGTGAGTGTCA